GTACCCTGCTAATGAGGTTTTTGTTGAAAACAATGTTTTTTGTATTTGTTTCAGAAACTGTATTTTATAGCCACATCTATAATTGACATCGAAGTAGTTCGTTTATAACTTTAAAAATTAACTGTAAGAAAATTGTTTGAAATATATTTTTCTATATTTTCATTATGAAGAAGATTACTGAAATTGTACTGAAACGGTGTAAGTCGCAATTTGTTATAGGTACTATATATCTTATATTTTTGTCTTAACAATATACACCGTACATTTAGACCAAAACAGCCAGCAAAAAGGCCACATTTAAAAGTTTAACTGGATCATAACGCAATATCAACCCACATCACGTTAAAAAGGAAAAATGTAACTAGAGCGAACAAAATGTACATATTTATACAAAAGTGCCCCATTTTAAATTGCATCCTACGCAGATTAGCCTAATGTAATGGGGATACATTTTAATGCTTCCATTTTCTCCAAAATACCCCTTATTCCCCCCACACTCTCTCTCTACCCCACTTTTATGCTTTCATCCGAAAGTGTTCATGCTTTCTCGAAAACCTTTAATATTATTTTGCTTAGAAGCTCCGACTTTTCTTTACGAGGAAGTTGTTAAATTACGGATAATTTATACTTCAAACGGTGTAAGAAAATTGAAAATTATGGAGTTGATAGCATATAATTTGTAGATCCCAAAAAACTTGGCGTTAAAGAGGCGCCAAGTTATCTGTTAAGAAAAAAAAATTAAACAATAAGTTATTATTACGAGTTTTCTTCGTTTAAAATTGTTATCTATAGCTGACCTTTTGTTTTTTAAACAGGATTTCTTACTTAGAGGAACTAATCGTAAAATAGCTTATAATCGTAACAGAAATAATGTTTATAATTTTGTTAAAGCTTAAACATAAACATTATTATATTTTAATTCCTAAGAAAGAGACAATGATACCTGTGACTAAAGAAACAAGGATGCTACGTCAGCATTCTACCAAGATACATGAAAAAAACAACTAAAATAATCTCTACATCAAGAACTACCACTACAACACTACCCAACTTACTTACATCAACTTCATAACACAAGTTGTATTATAATTCCGTTTAAGGTAAACGGGAACAATACGTTCCCCGTCATACATCACGGACCGGACCGGGCCGTACACGGCTTCTATTTATCGGAACCGTCGACGTTATCCGGCCATTGTTTCGCTGTCAATTACCGTACGAAAGTCTGACGTGGCGAATATTCTTTGGATGGAAACAGATTCTTTTTTTTGTTTTTTTTTGTGGAGTAAATGTGTAAGCTGTGGTTTTCTGACTTCAATAGAATCGTGAGATGATTAAGAGTTTTTGTTTTAGATGAGTAATTGTGTGTACTCATGAATATAATATTTGTCATACGCTGAGTAGTCATAAGTGCGAACGACTAACAAGGAGTAAAATTGTATTATGCCTATTCCGACAAATTTTTTTTCTAAAAAAACTTTGCCCCATACTAGGATTTTCTCCTGTGTCATGTGTGCGTTTACAAACATACAAGTTCACAAACACAATAACATCCAAACCCAAAACAACAATTTGTGGATCACACAAAGTGTTGTTCCGTGCGGGAATTGTTCCCGCAACACGTTGTACGGCAGCCGGTTGCCCAGCCACCGCACCAACCGTGCAGAAAATTTATTGGAATCTTTTCGGTTTATCGAAAATCCCTCATTAATTGCACGGAGTCTGGATTGGTAGTATTGAATGTATATTGAGAATTTAGACTACAAAATGAACCACAAAAATGACGATGAAAGCCAATATTGAGCTCCATTTCAAATTCTTTGTTCCAATATTTTTACAACAATGAAATGTTTAGCCAATTTTGCACCTGCTGTCAGATGCATTGACATAAGTGAATAGAAATGTTGAACGTAATAGAATAAAACTTCAATAAAAAATATAACATATTATCACAACTTTTTATCCTCGAGGACCAGGCAGAGGTGCAGATTAGAGCACTTAATGCCACTGTACAGTATAACCCCCAGTTTTCACTATTTATGTTATGAGTCCCATGTAATACGGGGTGAGCCTATCGCCATATACTAGGCCCGATTCCAAACTCCGTGCTACTAGGTACTGAGATTTTTTTAAAAGCCCAGTAATAAATTTGCAGACACTGGCAGTCGCACTTGTGACCACTTGGCCAACGAGGCATATTTTCAATAAAAAATATTTGTGAAAAAATTCAAAAAATGTCACAATTAACATTATGTTATGCACAACTTCACTCATTTAACGCAAAGGTTGACTGGGAGAAAATGCTATATGGCACTAAGTCTGCCTTATGTGCCTTATTTTGTGTTCATTAAAGTGTTAATAAAAAAAACTTATATATTGTGCGAATGCAGGGATTTAAATTAATTGTGCATAGATTTAGGACATGATCCATTTACCGCAAACAGTTCCAAGGTGCGTAGAAGACTAAACATTAAATTTACTGAGTACATATCCTTATTTTTCTACTTTTAAGTGCATATTGTATTCGCAAAACCAGATATACTGTAGCTAACCGTGGAAACCTACGGCTTTGTATAGCATATCGTTGATTGTTATTCTTTGTAATATAGCTGTTGGTTACCCTAATTGAAATAAATGAACGAATCATTAACAGCATTATTAATGAGACTGGGGTCTCGAGTTCGATTCCCGGGTCCTGCAAAGTATTACTGGGTTTAAAAAATTCTCAGTAGTAGCACGGAGTCTAAAATCGTGCCCGGTATATGGCAATACGCTCACCTCCCATTACATGGGACTCATAGCATAAATAGTAAAAAGTGAGTGTTACATTGTACAGTCGCATAATGTGCATCTCTGCCTATCCCTTCGGGGATAAAAAAGGCGTGATATTAAGTTATGTTATTAATGAGCCTCCTTGATAAGAGGGATTAATATAATCGCCACGTTTGGCAGACAGGACATGTATCTTAGATGTAGGTTTATCAGAGAGAACCACTACTGCCGCCTGTGCAAAATATGTAGGCGGGTCTTACTACACCCGCGACAAGAGCGCAAGCTGTAATCTCAGTTAATTAGCTAATGCCTGAATACTGAAACGTTACTCAATTTTAAGTCGTGCTCAAATATCGTGCCATCTCTGTCATTTTACAAAGAATTTGTAGAGATAGAACTATAATTAAGCACGACTTAAAATTGAGTAGCGTTTCAGTATTCCGACATTAGTACTTCAAGGCAATCATATTATCCATTGGATCGCCAAGTCACTATGTACAATGTAATTTGTGGTGTTTGACGTGTCATTGGATCATTTCATGTCAAAGGAAACGTGTACCGTTCAAAGACCTATTGAATCAAAAAGAACTTATTCGACACAATGCGATAATCCAATTTGACTTTACAGTATAATGGTCTCTATTAGTGAACCATTAAGTTCAAAACATTAATTACCCGTTTTTATAGCTAGACAAATTAATGTTTATTCCTACAAAATTTACAATCAAATAAAATGTTCGAAATACGACTCTGGACATTCGTAAAGGTTAATTCGAACGAATGGATCATCACTTTTCTTTTTGATAGTTCAAACACTATGGATTATCTTTTTTTTTGTTTAGGTCACAGTTGTTTTACATGAAATAGGTTTTTTTTGTCCTTCCCTATTATATTATTATAGATGGTTAGCACAGCAAAACTGTGGAATGATTTATCGTCGGCGGTATTTCCGAATTGATACAACCTTCAAACAAAAGACCTTCAAGATGAGCGAATTCCTTTTTTAAAAGGCCATCAACGCACCTGTGACTCCTTTGGTTTTGCAGATATCCATAGGCGACGCTGATCGCTTACCATCAGGTGATCCGCTTGCTCGTTTGCCTACAATTCTATAAAAAAAAATGTAATAAGTCAGATATCTTGGACTCTTTGATCCAAGATTTTTTTTCGGGACATTTCTTACATTCCACTCGCGTAATTGTGCTTCGCTCTGGTTGTCTTGATACATTACCATTTCCTTTCCATTAAGACTAATTTTTATTTTAAATTTCAAATATTTGAAAGTGAGAATATTCTTCCAGCATAATATCAGGCAAATAAAATGGAATATATTTTCGAGACGCAATCATAAGCGAATTCTTACCAAGTATTATTTTCCTTTAATTTTCAGTTCAACTACCACTAAAATATCTTCAAATACCACACTGTTCTCACGACTGCATCGTTAAGACGCGACTGAACTTAATTAAAAGAAAACACTAATTTAAATAAGAAAATAGATATTTTTAATTCTAGAAAAATATGTTACAAAATTATTCTTAGCTAGTGAAAATTGAATTCTACACGCTAATGAAAAAAGTTGAAAATATAATGTAATGCGTATGAATAGGTATGAAGTTGTAAATTCTTGAGATGAAATGTCTTACTTTGTTTTGTTTTTATTTTAAAATGGGTCTGCCATATTCTTTTTTTAAAAGTTGAATATATTTTTGTTAGCTACAGCTACTATTTACATATGCAAATGCTTTTTTAAATTAAATTGTATACAAAAGGTATGGAAATAAGGTATATTCTAAAGAATTCAATGACGCCAAAAAGGTCTTAAACTAACACAAGTATGGAGAAGCATAAGATATCTTATCAACTCAAATGTAACGAAGACATATAATTTTTCAAAAATGAACCATAAGTTCTATTATTTACAAGGTACACTTTGTACGGATTTAAAATCAAATATGGCAGACCGACAAGCCTTTCTTAAATACACGCAATTATTTAAAAAAATACTCTACGATATAAAAAAACATCTGGGATGACACGTAAAAATAATCATTATTTGACAAAAATGAATAATGGAAATATGAGAAATTATTTTTATAATTTAAATAAAATAAAAATTACTTCTACAATGTTAGTGTGAAAATTGATGTTGGATGCGTGATATGGTGTTTACGAAATGAACTTTATTGTATAAAAAATTAAAGTTGTAATTTAATTGAATATTTTGGAATCACAAAGGCTATTTTCGATGGGGATTTCCAAATTACTTATGTTATATTTCCTACAATAATGGCGTTTTGTGTTCTTTCCTGCTATTTTAGATCTTTCTGTAGTAGATTCCGTGAGATGGACGGAGTTCATGGGACGGGGCTTCTTCCTCAGGTTTGGGTTTAGGTATGAACGGGTTGTGGTAAGGATCTGCGTTCAACCTGGAACGAGAACAATAACGTATTTATTTATTTACACAATACTTCATTAAGTGTCAAGAATCTAGCTGGTAAGTGACAGTAATGCGGTCGAATTCTTTAACGCTTAACTGATGGTATTATTTTTGTGTTATTTATATTTTTTGAATAACTGTTTTAGTTTTAGTTATATTTTAATTTAAATTGTATATTATTTTTATAATATCTATCGTGAGACATACTAAATTAAGTAAAAACGCGGGTCACTCACGTGAATATACTGAGAAAAGCTCTACTAGTTTCGAACCACAGAGGGGTTCTTCCTCATGAACAGCGTGCGCGGTCGCGGCGAGCTGTGAGCTGCGCGACGTCGCCGATTCATAATTATGTTATTTAAGTGTTTTATATGTAAATAAACTAAAATTTTGTTAACTATGTTTGTCTACAATAACGTTTTTACCACACAAGTTTCAAGGGCTTTGTTAACCATCATACTGTCTCTGTACCAAATCGAATAAATAGTCACTTTCTTACCCGTATACCTGAATTTATATGTATTATAAAAAAAAATCCTAATACATACTTGTAAAGTGTGATGGCCTTAGAACAGTCGACGTTGTACCACCAATCGCAGGCGAACTTGGCCTGGTCGAAGAGTGTACCGTTTGTACAGAGGAATGAGGCTCCCTGCTGACCCTCGCGACCATCATGGCAGACATGGTAAGCCTGTAAAAGATTGAAATATTATGTTATGTGAAAATAGAATGAAATGTCAAGTTCATACGATTGAAAATTGGTTGGACTATGTGGTTTCTGCATAGAATTTTAATACTTTAACTTAAATTTGTATTAACATAAATACGTTGAACGCTGCATCGCGCATCGTCGGCTATCGGAGAATCTGTGTTATATGATTTAAACAAATAAGACATAATATGACCAATATGTCTTGTTGGTACAAGAAATATTGGAAAAGGCCATAATGCCTTCAAGGCCATAACGTAGATTGGTATTTACTATTTGGGAAAAAGATATAGTTACTATAACTTTACTCGTAACAACCACATAATTGGTTTATTATATCAATTTGTTGACATTTTTTAAAAAAATCTTTGACAATATCATTATTATTATCGTCTTAAAAAGTTTGATTTTAAAAAGTTCCGAAGAAACAACTGAATGTCAAGAAATAGCTGGAAGCTACAAATAATTAGTTCAAGACAAACCAGGACCAAGTATTTGACATTTGTACAAAAACAATTCCAAATATAATATACTATTTTACATTTTTTTAGTGACACACATAGCCTTAAGCTTGCGTTAAAAAAACCGACTTCAAAAATCATAAACTAAAAGCAAAAGAATAACTATTAAATTATTCAGCCTACCCACTTATAACTTAGAACTCGGTGCCCCAAGGCCTGAACAAAAACACATTTCTCCTTTTTTGGGAAGTCGTTTTAAATATCAGAGATTTTTGAACACACTCAAACAAACAAATAATGACAAAGATTGGAAAGTTATACTTCATCATCAACAGCCTATATAACTATCTCCTGAGCAAAGCCTCTTCTCACACGAAGAAGGTTGAACAATTATCACCACGCTTGCTCAATTCGGGTTGGCGATTTCAAACTAATAATTAGAATTAATAGTTTTCCTTCACCGTTTGTCAGTAGTGTCTAGATAATCTAAGAAAGTACATATAGTTCGGAAAAAGTCACATTGGCAGGTACTTGCCGTTGGTAGCTTTCAAACCCGCTCATGCATGAGGGATGCATGAGAAGTAGACGTCTTAAAGTTATATTTATTTTTGAAGAATTATAACGTGATTCAAATAATAAGTTGGAATTACCATCAAAGCCTTTAAGGTTACTCGAGTACGACCATACCTTGAAACTTATTCAATTTGGGGAAATTACTCGGCCATTATTCGACCACTCTGTAGTAACCATATAATTAGGAATCTGAACTTTTTCGAAGTAATCGAGTTAAAATAATGGGTTCCTTTCGTTAAACTGTAATTTACTTGTAAATACAGACAACATGTACCGACCCGTGTATTATTGTGTAGACAGAATTTCAGGTTTTTGTAGGATCAGTTTTCAGTCAGATTGTCAGTCTCCTGGTTCTAAGCTAACTCCCCACCAATTTTCATCTGAATCGGTTTTGTCGTTCTTGAGATATACATAGTGTAATGAACACGACTTTCTTTCATTTAAATAGATTTATAATGCAATAAGTTTGTGCCATGATTCCAAATAATTTAATATTAAACTCCATAGAAGTACACAGAGTTGCACACAGATTGCAGTAGTGATTGCTATTGCATTTTGCATCATAAATCGGACGACAGCACATGGTCTCGACTACAAAAGTTGAGATGGAATATACTGAACATACATTCTTGATCGAATGCACTTGCAGTTTATTTCTTGACATGATTTTAGTAATATTTACTTGGAAAAGATTTTTGAGATTTTTCAGGGAAAGTAAGAAACTATATTAAATTAATCCCGTTGTTTGTCTATTTTGTGCCATAAGGATTTCATTACATCAGACTCACTATAACGGACTATTAAACTTTTTGAAATAATCAATTTTGAGACGAAACTGAGTTATTAATTTGACTGCTTGGTTGGTGCAGTGGCTGGACAATTGACTGCCGCGCAACGTGCAGCAGGTTGAATACTGAAGAAAATCTTAGTGAGGGGCAAGTGTTTAAAAAATAGCTTTTAGTTATCTCGCCTCAGAGTAAAATGACTGTCATGAAACATTTAATAGGGTATACGACAAATTTTTATTTTAATGTCCGTCTGGTAGATTATTTAAAAACATTAGATACGTATTTTTTATTTTCTTACGGAAACGAATAGTTTTGAAGATATATTAATTTGAAATGTCGCGTGACGTCACTCTCAGTACATTTTATACCAAGAAATGACGGTTTAGCCCGCACTACTAAACTTTGATTCGTTTTATCTAAGTATTGCTTTATTATACGACAATATAAAAAAATAGGTGTCTAATATTTTTTATTACCTAACTTACGGACTAAATATATTTTTAATTTTCATACCCTGTCATCGACCCCATTGTAACACCTATGAACCTAGATGTGTGAACATCAATATGTTCAACTAGGCGTGGATTATAATAATAGTCTCATAAGGAGTACAAAAAAAAACTCAAAATAAAAAGTTGAATAATGATAAAACTTACACTCGATTAAATGTAACTTCAAATAACTGAATCTAAAGGACAGTCTATTTTTATATCCCAGTATATTTACCAACAGTTTCATACTTTCATTCTCTAACCATAACATTACAAATATATCTTGTACTATATTACGTGTAGTTACTCTGTGGCTGAATTTCTAAGAAGAATAGAACAGCCCAAAGGAAACAATACGTTGACATTTAAACACACATGTAAGACCTTTAAGTAAAGGTAGGTGGCGCGGAGTAACGAATAAATTAAATGCGGTATCTATACTCGGAATTTTAATTCGATTCCAGATTTGAAAATTTCAGTGTTGCAACGTTATGACAAGTACTAAGTAGTAACGTTGCGAAATTATTCGATATGATAATGCAATATTACTGGATCGATTCTTCTTGTTTATAATTTTACTCTTGTAAACTAAGTATATCAGGAAATTAAATATTTCTGAACCGATAATTTAGTTTTGACGATTAATTAACGATCTGAGACTTTTCTTTTATAATTGTGTGTGAAATAAATAAAAAAATGTAACCATGAAGGAACATGACAAATAAAACAGATAGATGTATTATGGTAATAAGTTATTTTGTAAATTTTCGCCGTCATCGCTATCGCTATCCTGTCACTTTCTGTAACATTTATTATAAAACACACACACTAATTGTTTATCGATTTTTGTGTTCATCACTACACTATTATATGTGGTATCATTATTTCACAAAATGACAGTAGCTATTGTCAAATCTGGAATCTAATTAAAATTCTGACTATAGGTATAACTTTTTAAAGGTGTTGGGCGAACATATAATCCAATCATCTCAATACATCACTGATAAAAAAATACGCACGCCAAAAACCGGTGTTTTTCTTTTCATGATTTTGTTGCTGTATCTTTTTAATACAAAATGATTTGTAATGTGTATTACATTAATTATGTGTCGTAATGACTAATTAATGACTACCTTTACAGACATAAATATTTCTGTGTTTACAGTAGTCTACTTATGAAGCTGTATGTATAGGTTATACATAGTAAAAGAAATCAATTAATTGAAGTCCAATACCGATTGTGGCTATATATATTTCTAATTTCCAACCACTTCAAGGTATATTAGCAGACTTTTACTGACTAAAATTGCGTGTATTTTCCAAATTTAAAATATAATGTGTTTAAGATTATATTATCTACCTCATCTTCTCTTTCGTCGATCTAAGGTGGTGCCATAACAAAAGATGTTAGAGTAAATATCGTTACCCTTACGTACATGTCGCTGAGCCCTTTCGTGACCCGTTTTTGTTTTTCAATGGGATCCCTATTAATTAGTGAGTATGAGTATGTTTGACTCACATGAACAAATATTTTCTTTGAAATATTTACAAGGTTTTGTTCTTCATTGAAAATATATTAAATCCGTGGGCGAATTTCTTTTATTGAAGGGTCAGGAAAATAAACAGGGATAGTTAAAAATAGGGTTTTGTTAAACATATTTTGGGTAAGTAAATATGTTATGACAGTAATTTTATTTTTAGATTGATATTATGTGTTATAATGAAGGATGAAAAATAAAACAAATCTGCATTTGTTTACAGTACAAACAGTATTAGTACTGCTACTAATTATTGCGGTAAAGGTTGAAAAATAGGACAAAATACAATACTAAAAACGCATGTCCATATTTAGAAAAATTTGCAATATAATCCTTAAAAATATTTGATAAGCATTTATGTATGAGAATTACTTAAGGGACTAGGGCACAAGTAGCTATTTACACTCTATTTTATTCTTATTATTCTACATTCTACATTCATAAATAATTATACACATATACATAAACAATTATTCTACATTCAAGATAAAATTCAAAATTAAATCTCAATAACACGACAAACTCCAGTGTGTCATACACCTAATAAGGGGCGACGCAATAAATCAGTCGAGCTATTATCCATAGGATTCAGAGCTTCAATCTCAACGCCATCCCATCTATCATTTGACTTAGCGTCATCTAAACGGGAAGCTAATTCCATATATTGTAGCCTGGTTTCTGTGTTCTATGACAATCATTGGGTAATAAAGCCAGAGGTAAGCCAAAATTATATTGATTTTCTTTAGGTTTAAACATGGACATTCAATATTAATATAAAGGTGCTCCCACATAGCAGTTATATAACGTTGTACCACATTGTGTAACACGATAATATTTACAATATCGTGTAACATACTCTACAACATGTCAAGTTAGGACTACAACTATTGTTATAATTTGTTTAAAACCAAATGTTAAGTTAGTCTCTAAGTCAAAGTCAAAGTCAAAATCATTTAGTTTAATTCGACCAGAAAGCCACTTTTGAACGTCAAAAAAAAATTTGAAGTGAAGCTATTTGCTTATTCCAAGGTGTGGATTCCTATGGAGAAGAACGAGCAAGAAACTCCATATATTACTCTTTTTCAATCAGATTCACAATACAATTCTCTAACGTTATATGGAATATCTTTAGGAATTCTGGAGACGCAATCGGTAAGGCGCGTACAGTAACTAAAATCTGCAACTAACTCCTACTTTTATTGCTTCGAAAAACTATTGACAATGTCAAAATTATGACGTTTTGGTTTCATTGCTGCTAAAGTTTCATATAAAATGTTACATTGAAATATTATATTTTTGCGTACCTACCTACATAATAATATTAACTCGAATAGCCGTGGAGGTTCGGAGGTTTAAGACTATTTTCATGCATGAGGTTCAAACCTACCAAGTATCAATGTGACTTTTTCCGAGTTATATGTACTTTCTAAGATTACTTAGACACCACTGACAAACGGTGAAGGAAAAAAGTCGTGAGGAAACCTGGGCTTATAATAATATATTTAGAATTATATGTTTAAAATCCCCAACCTGCATTGAGCAAGCGTGGTGATTAATGCTCAAACCTTCCCCGTGTGAGAAGGGTTTTAACGTTTGGTCAGCCATTGCCACTTATAGGCTGATGATGACGATGATAATGATGAATAAATAATGTTACTATGCTAGAAATTCTTTTATAACAATCAGATGTCAAACAGTCGTTCAAAAAGAACTGAAATGCTTTTAAAAATAAAATCGTCCATGCGGTTTATGATAGCAATTCACAAGCACGAAATTACAACATCGCTTTAATGAATTTACTGAAGAAATATGGGGTCGCAAATGTGAAGTGCATTTTAATTCTCAGCTCGGCAACAGTTTTGTCATAAAACGAGTGAATTAAAACTCATTTTTTACCCAACAAAGAACGAAATGAGAATGGTAAATTACTGTATTTATTCTCTTTGTGTCCGTGTCGAAATAATGAGATTATTGCTGAGCAATCATAATCAAACTATCATCAATTGTTCCGATACATTGCCTACAGGCGGTAATTAAGCTTTATTGACTGACGTTCCATGTATTACATTTCACTGTTGGTATGAATTTAGCTTGTAATTACGTTTTTGGTCTTAATTAAGTGCATTTATTGTTTTGTATTTATTTTGTACTGGTTTTCATTCGCTTTTGCTTGTCTTTATAGTATAAAAAGAATACCACTATGCTTTATCAGATTTAACATAAATTAAACACAATCTTCAATTAAAAGTACCCTTAACCGACGAGCATGCATGAAAAGATTGATGACTGTTGATGAAGCGAAAGAGGTATGTAGGAATCGTAGTAATTGGCGTACCCTAGTCTCTGCCTATCCCCATGGGAGAACATCGTTAAACAAACTTAAGTGTGGGAGAGCCATGCTTCGGCACGAATGGGCCGGCTCGACCGGAGTGATACCACGGCCTCACAGAAAACCGACGTGAAACAACGCTTGCGTTGTGTTTCGTCGTGTGAGTGAGGTTACCGGAGGCCCAATTACCTTCCCCTTCCTCAATCTCCCCAATCCCTGAATCCCCAACGAACCTCAAACTCCTAATCCCCAAAAAGCCGGTGACGCACTTGTAACGCCTCTGGTGTTCCAGGTGTCCATGGGCGACGCCGATTGCTTACCATCAGGTGATCCGTCTGCTCGTTTACCGGCTTATGCCATAAAAAAAAAAAAAAAAAAAACTAAAGAAAATTTGAATTTGAATTTGAGATTATATGTAAACACAATTTCTTTAATTCGTTTACTAATTCAGTATTACCTCTAGACACACATAAATAGCAACGACATTATTAGAGCTCATCATAACAGTAGACGACATTCTAGTTACCTACGTAACCAGGTATTTGACTTTAACTAGTTTTTACTTTTTAGTGAGAGGTCACTCAAGTACTTTCAAACCACAGTAAGGCCCCTTAATCGTGAGCCGAACAATTACGTAAATAGTTAATTGAATACATATGCCTAAATCACTACATAGTATAAAACAAAGTCGCTATCCGCCGTCTGTCTGTCCCTATGTATGCGTAGATCTTTAAAACTATGCAACGGATTTTAATGAGATTTTTTTAATGGATAGAATGATTGTTTAGGTAATTTTATATGTATTTTGCACCAGTCCGAAGCCGGGTCGGGTCGCTAGTAAACTATAATCGAAGATAAACTTACCTGACACCCAGTCTCTACATTAGCATACATGCCAGGCCTTACAGGAACATGGTCACAGGAAAAGCTAGTGTCTGGCACGCTGTGGTATATGGGGAAGTCAACTCCTGGCGTACCAGGCACGTTGCGAAGGTCCTGTGGCTTCTCGTGTTCACGCAGTGGCTTCGGGCGAATGATCGCTTGCTCGTAGTGTGTTTCATATGGATCGTATTGCTGGAAAGAAGGAGATAGTTCAGTTGGTTTGCTAAAATAGAATCGAGTCAATTGGGGAGGGCTATTGCCTGCAGTGGATGTCTCATTAGATAATCTGACGAATTCGGTTTTGGTTTAAGACGTTTATTGTAATGAAATTACTGCTTCAACATTGTATGTAGACAGTTTTTCTTGCCTTGAGTATGGGTACTAAAGGTAGTTATGTAGTTTATCGTTACATAGAAAAACTCAGTTAGTTTGAGCTATCGATTTCTTTTCTTATTCTTGTTAGAAAAATTGCATTTCGTTGTCTTCAATTTTCAAATTACAAATGAATACGAAAACTACCCAAACTGCGTACTTGTGACACCTGTATCACTTTTTGTCACCTTTGTTATAATTTTAAGTATAAGTAAACTTAACTAAGTTGGTTTTATTTGTGACCATAAAGTACATAGAACGTTACTTCAACGTACAACTGCACTATTACACAGTTAATCACTTTAACGACCTGGACTTTATTCCCGTACACCGTACATTACTCGTAGAAGGCGTAAATGTAATGTTTTTGAAATAATTCTTCATTTTGTATGAGAATCAAATCTAAAAAACAGCTACTAGGTATTTCACTGTCTGTTGATCAAGTTCTATTTGGGTAGGTACTTTCCTTAATCAAAAATAAATTATTTCGACTGTTCAATACAGTATTAAATATTTTAAAATAATCACACTTTCTTTAATTGATTTTATAACCAACGTAATTTTAGTATTTAACCAGCAAATGTTTCAAAAAATAAGTATGCTGTTTGACGATAAAAAACATGACGTCACAATACACAATCACGTACAAAATTAATTCATTTTTGACAGATCGAAAAATGTATTGAACTTGACGAGTTGACAAGTACCCATTTGCTATATGTATATTGTACGGGCCAACCTCTCCAAATGTTATTATTAAGGCATTGGCTGCCAATAAAAAACTGTTGAAGGCAAATCCTCCGCTAATGTCGGTCACCGGTGACTGCCATGGCGTTTAACGTGTTAAAAAAGGAGTAACTAATGTTGGTTTTTATTTTAATACAAAATAATCATTTATAGGAAATTAACCCTTACAGTAGGCACCGGGGTGGTTTTATAATAATATGAGGCGAGGTGACGGGCATTAGCGATCCCGCGGGCTACCATCATCCCGAGTGCTCCAGGGAGAAGTCACCGTTCCTTCTTCTCCGGCTTGCCTTAATTGGCTGGCTGGAGTGAACGATGACAAGGAACAGGTCTCCCACCTCTGGCTTGCCTTCATTGGCCGTCCAGAGTGGAGTCGCGAGAGCAGTGATCCTGCTCGGAGGGTAAGAAACTATTCGTAAGTCGCGAGTGGGCCAGGGATGCAGGAGGCTTCGGCTGGAGCAGATGATCTGAGTAGAAAGCGGTGGTAGTTTCTTAACCCTTCAGCCACTCACATTCTCGTTGCCCCTCTGTTGCTATATCTAGCAACCATTCCCGGGGCCCGGTCGGTGAGTTGGCGAGTCTCCGCCTGCCATTTTTACGTGTAATAATTACATTGTTTCGGCAGGTGCCATAGTCATCCATAGTTCCCAATTTCCCAGTCCACAGCAACCCATCCATAGCCCTACCTTTTTTTTCCATTATCCACAATAGTTCTGCACTAACCGGGGACTGTCCTTGGGTGCATTTCCATAGTGCATACAGGGATAGTCGCCGGTTTGTGTGTCCATTACATTTAGATTAAAGTTGTCTAAAGGGCCTCTGCGCAGTTGGCTTCGGCCCCTCGTACGCCTCCCAAATGACCGGGACCCTGTGGTCCCGTGAATGGTAAAGACATACAATAATAATAATAATCATTTATTTCAGACCATGTCCATATTTTAGTGAAGTAAAAATCCCATACTAGTATGATTGCCTCGTTGGCCGAGTGGTCGCAATTGCGACTACCGGGGAAGGGGTCTCGGGTTCGATTTCCGGGTCGGGCAAAGTATTACTGGTTTTTTTTTAATTCTTAGTAGTAGCACGGAGTCTGAAATTGTGCTCGGTATATGGCAATAGGCTCACCCCCTGTTACATGGGACTCATAACATAAATCGTGAAAAGTGGGTGTTACATTGTACAATGGTATAATGTACACCTCTGCCTACCCCTTCGGGGGTAAAAAGCGTGCTGTTATGTGTTTGTATGTAGTATGTTCTCTCCACAAAAGCTAGCCTTTCGAAGGTTTCCCCGTCATAAAAACCACATAACTGTAATACATAAAATATAGGTACACAAAATTCTCAAACATATAACAATTTCATACCACGACACCTTACTTAATAATTTCTGTTATATGTAGAATTGAAGGAAACACCATAAATCTATTTGCTTCCGATTCAAATGGAACACAAAATCAAAAAACTTCCAAACTTATTTACATTCCCGTACAGATGTTCGTTGAAATAATGTATATTGAAGTTCACTTATAAAATAAGGGAAGCATAATTTCAACTCTTTTAAAGATATTATGGGTTTGGATCAACGACCGACCTTCAATACAACATTTTTAAATGATTAGTAGTGATCAAAATATAAATTGACGGTACAGGTTCGAAACCTACCAACGGCAAGTACAAATGTGGCTTTTTCCGAGTTATATGTATGTACTTTCTAAGATTATCTAGACACCACTGATAAACGGTGAAGGAAAACATCGTGAGGAAACTTGGGCTTATAATTTCTAGTTATAAGTTTGACATCGCTAACCCGCATTGAGCAAGCATGGCGATTTTTGCTCAAACCTTCTCTGTGTGAGAAGAGGCTTTGCTCAGCTGTGGGCATTTATAGGCTGTTGATGATCAAAATATTTGCTTTTCCATCAGTATCTATAAATATTTTAATTCAAAATGTTGGCCGCACTAGTAGGTACTGTTTTTTTTTTATTTGATGGGGCGACGTTAGACCACTATCTCGCCTGGAGGTAAGCGACAATGCGGTCTACGATGATATTTACCAAGAATATATTACAAACTCCACTACATTTTATGTAATACGAGAAACCATTGTTTAAAAATCAACAGGATAAAACCACTAGGTACGTCAAAATACACCATTCATATTCATACAACTTTCTACAAGTCAATAAGATTAATTGTCAAGAACAAATCGTGGCTCTTATTACATAAGACAATAAGGTCGAGAACCACATCAATGGCCGACCATGACACCGTTACGGTTTTTTACACGCAACTTTCAACACACATATCCACCTACAACTGTATCATAATCTTACATAAGAAGTTCGTTGAAACAAGTATAGTTATTAAATGTTTGGGTCCGAACTAACTGGTGTAATTGAGGCCAGCAACGAAAGCGGTTTGTATAAGTTTTGGGTTTAGGTTGATATTTGCAAGATATGAAGTTGAAAGTAGGAAGTGTTTTTGGGTCATATTTACAGTTCTTGTAAATGTGTTTAGTCACACGTTGTTTAAAAGTAATAATAAGTTAATAGTTGTCGTCATTCATAACAGTAGAAATAATTTCACATCACATCAACAGCCTATAAGTGGCCAGTGCTGACCAAAGGCCTCTTCCACACGGAGAAGGAATAATTAACTTTGGCTAAAACAAAACAGTAAGTAAACAAATTTATAATCATGATTTATGATTCAGTATTCATTCTAGTATAGAAAAAACCCAGACCCGTGCCTACGGCGCTTCAAAGAGCCATCAGAACATCAATGATGGGGAGCCGCGGAAGGCCTAAAAGGTTGCCAGGGCTCCGGCTCGAAGAGCAAGAGTAGGAACGGGGTTAGTTTTTAGTCAGTAAGAGTCTGACACTCTCTCTGGCCTAACCCAAGGTGGAAGAAGTCAAAAGATAATTTCTCCCCCTCAAAAAAATATAAACAAAACAAATAATAGGAATCAACCGAATGAAAAAGGATTCTCTAATCTAATAATATTTTTATAACATCACAATATTTATACAAATCCCTGAACTTGACACGCTTTACCCGTCAGCTTATTAATAAACAACTACTAAATAAAAACATCATAAAAACCAACTTCCTTAATCACTTTCAATCTACAGTTAGCACTACACAAATTATAATATAAAATGTACTGCGATAATTTCGCCATAGTTCCGCGCTTGCGCACCTCTACCTAGTGAGAGGGGATCGCACGCATGCGCCGTCTTGTCACGGACGCCCGGAGTTGCGCAGTGCCACCGAAAGTGCAGTTGTTGCTCGAATGATCTAGTCACCAGTTTAGTAGCAAGTACTAACAATATTAGGCTTATAATATTATATGTTTAGCTTTTTGCATTCTAATTAATAAGTGGACTAAATGACAAACTGTCATGTTTATTCTAGGTGTGATTGGTAGTTCGCCTTTTACATCGACAGCATGCTAGTATACTATGCTATTATAGACACATTTATTGATTAAATTCAGTCTATTAGTATAATCAACTACACCTATATTTTTATGTTCTTTATTCAATGTATTTTATATCAATTTGATTATGCTTCGGAACAATACAATATGACTCCATAAAGTATGGTAAAGCCATGCTTCGGCACAAATGGGCTGGCTCGACTGGAGTGATACCACGGCCTCACAGAAAACCGACGTGAAACAACGGTTGCGTTGTGTTTCGTTGTGTGTGGTTATCGGAGGTTGCAATTTCCTCCCCCCCCCCCACTCCCCCATTCCAAATCCTCCCAATACCTGAATCCCCAATAATCCTCAAATTCCTAATCCCCAAAACTCCACTTGTAACGCCTCTGCTGTTCCTGGTGTTCATAGGCGATGTCGATTGCTTACCATCAGGTGATCCGTCTGCTTGATTTCCGGCTTATCCCATTAAAAAAAACATTTTAAACCACAATAAAATACGTGTACCAAGAATTTCTCTATGAATCAATAAAGTAACTACCTACAACAAAATAGGTACATCTTATTCCTCAAGGTCCTTTAATGCTCTTGAAAAATCATCTCTGAAGACTATTGACATTAAAATTAAGTGCTGC